TCATCCAACGAGCGTCTTCCTCCATTGCTAAGTGGCGAGGGGAGCCCCTGTCTAAGTCCCTGTTCGACGTCTTTTTTAAACTTTTCTTTCATTATTGGTCAACTTTGCACCCACAACTTCATTATCGGTGGTTTTTGCCCGCGAATTCGTTCTTGGACTGTTGCTTTAAGAAGACCATGTGGTTCTTATGGGAGTTTGAGGGAGAGAGAGTTGAAACGAAGGGGAAGGTAGAAAGAGGTTAGCTTTTTTTCTTGATAGGACACCTGAAACGCGAGAGGGAACAAGTCGTTTGACAGGATGATGTGTACTTCCTAAGCTTTGAGCCATGCCTAGGCCTATTGCAACGCGAGACTATCACAGCGTTGGCCAGGGGTACCCGACAGGAGGCCCGTCGCGCGGCAAGAAGGCAGAGGCGGACGAGTCGCAGCGCGTGATGTGCGATGTAGGACGTACAATGGTACATTCTATTTAACTTGACGCGAAATCACTACAGTACGCGCTGCGACTCGTCCGCTGACTCTGCCTTCTTGCCGCGCGACGGGCCTCCTGTCGGGTACCCCTTGGCCAGAATCGATTCTGTGGCCAACAACCTTGTGAACTGAGTAAAATCACACAAGTAGTGGCGAAAATGCCGAAATTTCAAGATGCGAGTATTTGAAATACAATGGGGAAGAGGTATTTTGAGACAGACAATGGGAATTTTTCTTCTCACGAAATTCAAACTCTTTCGGTCAATTTCAAAAGTTCTGTGGATTTTGCCGTTTCAATAGTTGCGTTCTGATGTTTTGTTCTTCTTCTTCTTCGTGTTCTGATGCGCTTCAACTGCTTCATTGTTCGTATCCATTAGACTGGTCGAGTACCTCATTGGATTACATTACATTCATGTGGTCACAGCTAAGCAGTCGAAGACGATCTTACTATCGTGCTCTTTGATAGCACAGGTGCTTATTTGAGGTCTTGACGACAAATATGGGGGATGAGAACTCTAACCATTCCCTCATCTTGAAATGGCCAAGTTGTGCCTATGTCACCCTCAATAAAGTCAGATTTGAAGGTCGGGTGGTGTCTAATCCACGCCAACATCCTTTGAAGCCAACTTTTGCAAGGAATTAGCCTGCTCTTTATAAATGTCCGAATGTCATCGATTGTTGTCAATGTTTACATCAGCTGCTGAATACATATTCAATTTGCTAAATTTTCGTAAACAAATTTTGGATAGTCCGTTGACAAGGCGTTTGTAAGGAGGTGGCAGCGGTCGCTGTTCACGAGTACGGGCGGAGGTCAGTATTTTGCTGATCTCGGCGAGGGAGTCAGAGTTGGAGCGTTGGCGAAGGTCAAAGTCGGAGAAAGAACCTGTTGTAGATTCAAAGGGTTGGGCGTTTGCGTGGCATGCGAGAGAGTGGGCCATTTTTGACGGGGTTTGCATGACCAGTTGGGAACCGTAAAATGGAGAAATTAGAGCTTTTTGTCGTTTTTTGAGGTTTATTTTCTCCCTAACTCCACCTTACCCTTTCCCTCCTCCTCGACGGCCGCCTTTCTGAGAAGTGGGTGGAACTGGCGCTAATGTCGGGATCTCGAATTCCAATACTCACAGAATAAACAGTACAAGGGGGCAGGGTGGCTGTGTCGATGTAACATCGAGAAGCTAGGAAAGGGCGGGTTGTGAGAGGGTCGTGAAATATCTGAAAAAGTACCAACAACACTTGGGAATGACCCTGGCTGCAACCCTGGTTCATCATACCTGCATCGTTCATCA